TATTTAAATTAATGATCAGAGAAAGTCTTAATATATATGGACGATATCTCGATAGCTACCGAGGAAATGCGAGAGCACCTCGACATCCTCTGAAGAGTATTCAAAATCGCACAGAAGTATAAACTTTGATTTCAGATAAATGCTCTTTTTTGTATGATTACGTATCTCGGATACTTAATTAATGAAAATGATATTCAATTAAGCGCGGAAAACGTCGAATCTGTTATTATCCGATTCCGCGTAACACGGAAGATGTACAGCGCTTCATAGGACTTGCGAGTTATTTTCGCAAATTTATTCTGAGGTTATAGCGAAACTGCTTGATTAAAAAAGATATCATGTTCAAATTCGACGCGAAAGAAGATAAAGCCTTAAAAGCGTTAAAAGCGCGCCTATCTAATCAATATTAGCGATTTATTGTCCCGCCGCGAAAACAGAATTACATTGTGATGCGAGTGTGAATGGATTTACTGTTATACCATACTGTTACAACAGCAAGATGGAGCAATATCGTATTTCAGTCACCGAACGACACCGGCGGAATTTAAATATTCCAGGAATGTCTGGTCGCTATATATGCGATTAAGAGATTCCACGTTTATTTGTCGGGCACTCATTTCAAAATTATCACAGATGCTTCCGTCTTACCCTTAGCAGACAAAACATTAATCCGAGAATCGCGCATTGGACAATGTTCCTATAACAGTATGATTACGAAGTAATACATCGACTGGGTAAGCATATGGCGCATATAGACGCGAGCCGATGTAACAGTATCTTAGTATTAGAAGGAAATATTTTTAAACAAGTATTATCTATAAAACAAAATCAAAATACAGAGATCAATAAAATCCGCAACCGGATTGGAAAAGGACAAAGATAAGCTATATGAGCTTAGAGATGGCCTCATATATCGGAAAATCAATAAAAACAAGTTGTTATTTTATGTACCGGAAGTAATGGAAAACAATATCAATAATGACATTGTACGTATCATGACGATATTGGGCATGTAGGAGCGAGCAAAGTAATCGCGAATATTACAAAAATCTATTGGTTTCCCGATATGCAGGTGAAAGTGAAAAGTTACATAAAGAATTGTCTTAAATGCATCGAATATTCCCCCCCATCGAATGGACGACCAGAAGGATATTTACACAGTATTCCGAAAGGAAAATTACCGTTTCAAATCTGTCACATAGATCATTACGGATCCTTGGAAAAAACGAGTCGAGGATATAAGTTTGTGTAGACGCATTTTCTAAATTTCTACGACTATATCCCTGTAAGACTACGAGTTCTAACGAAGCTATAAAACATTTAAAGGAATATTTCCGATACTACAGTAAGCCACGACGAATCATAAGCGATCGAGGTAACGCATTCACATCAAGTGAATTCAAGGATTTCTTAAAGAAAGAATACGTTGATCATGTTCTGATAACCACTCCACTGATAACCACTGGTCCTGATAACCACTTCTCCGTGTGTTAATGGACAGATTAAGAGATTAAATCGAGTCTTAATGCCTATCCTAGCAAGGTTAAGTGATTCTCCCAATAAATGGGACCAAGTAATTAGTCAAGCCGAATTTGCAATTAATAATACTGTTTGCAGATCTACTGGGAATACTCCTAGCCAACTGTTATTCGGATTAAAGTCAGTTAGGAGAGATTACACGAGTTTTTATGGTTAAGCTTAAATAGTCAGACAAAAGAAAATCTGGCCGAATTGCAAGAAGCAGCGTCGTGTAAAATTATAGAGAGTCAAACAACAAACGAGAAAACGTACAATAAATCTCGGAAAACCGCGATGACATCCCAAGTTGGCAATTATGTGGACATAATCAACCAAGAGATACCACCATTGATGCGAATAAAAAGCTAATCCCGAAATATAAAGCTTCTATTGTGAATAAAGGCGCAAATGATACATTGTAACCGATATTCCTGGATTCCAGATTACACAAATGCCATACAACGGTGTAGTGTCCGCAGAACGAATGAAAACATGGATACGCGAAATCAATTAAAATTAAGATCAACGATTTAGCAAATAAGATTAGTTCTAAGCTGTATTATAATGTGGGATGTATCATTAATTAAGTAATTTCTGTTAATTTTGTAAACCTTAAAAGCATGACCGAGACGCGTCAGGATGGACAAGTTGTAGGATTTTTAATTTATTCAGGACCTTATACTCTAAATGGACCCTGATTTCCGCACGACCCTATAGCGCGGCCAATGGAAAAACCCCGCGCATTAATATACGCGATGCACGAATAGCGAGCGTCCAGCGAGGCGTCCTGCAGGAACAGGCAGGCACTGATGAGTCAGTCTAATGTAGACAATCTGTGGGAAAGGCACGAAATAAAATCTCTCTGTTTAAGGAAATCCTGACCATTCCTGTAATTTTCCTAGAGATGAGAGATTCCTTGTTCAAATTAAAATGTGGGAACTTAGAGGAAGGTAATAAATATTGGGTAGAAGAGCATACGAGAAAGTGTATATTCTGTGGTAAGGGAAAAGATAATTTAAAGCACTATGTAGAGGAATGTTCGGAAATAAAAGAAAGGTTTACTAAATTAGGAAAAAATAAGGAAGAGATCTTAAGAAAATTGTATGATGAGGAATTAGATGAGGTGAAAGGGGAAATAATAAAGAATTATGGAAAGAGAAGGAAATATTTAGATAATTAGAAACTTTCTATCATGTCCAAATATTAATCTGTTTGAAAAACCTATGCATTATTTAAAAACTAGACATCTAGAAATTTATCTAATAACTTTAAAATATTTATGTACTCCTGGCAATTCTGCCAGTAGAACGATTCTCTATCACTGAGTATATTTCCTAAATGAAGAAATTGTTTCCCAAAAGTGTAAAAATTTTAAGGGAGATGAGGAAAGCATCAAAAAAGGACAGGGAAGAAATGTATAAGTAAAGAGAAGGCACGGAGAGAAAAAGAAAGTAACGTGAAAGGAGTAAGATATAAATATGTGATAATAATAATAATAGATGGTGATAAGACTGTGATAGAGATAACGTATGTATGTATGTATGTATGTATTAAACGAGAGTATATAACATTAGAAGTAGATATATAATAACTAAAAGAGAAAAACGAATAAAGCGAAAAAAAATAAAATGAAATAAAGTTGGTAAAGAAGCGAAGTCAGATGGTTTAACCAGAAAAGTAGGAAAATAAAGAGATAAACAAAATTTTTATAATAATATATGTGCGATAGCTTGCGGACGAGATATGGATGTATGAATGAGTTAAGAAATTTATGTAAACCATATCCCTTTCTTGGCTGTAAATACGATGAAATGTAATAAATTCTTTATTTTTATATAGTTAGAAAACTTTAGATAATTAGAAACTTTCTATCATGTCCAAATATTAATCTGTTTGAAAAACCTGTGCATTATTTAAAAACTAGACATCTAGAAATTTATCTAATAACTTTAAAATATTTATGTACTTCTGGCAATTCTGTGCCAATAGAACGATTCTCTATCACTGAGTATATTTCCTAAATGAAGAAATTGTTTCCCAAAAATGTAAAAATTTTAAGTTCTTTAAATAAAAATTACAAACTTGTAATCTAAAAAAGTTGTGTATTCTAAAAAAACTTCTATTTTAACACATTTTAATTATAAAAAAGATTATATTCTAAAAAAGTTTATACGCAAATGTGTACGAATAAAGAAATGAAGATTTTAAATTCTGTTATAATTTTTATTTACTTTAATTACTTTTCAATAACAAAAAAAAACAGCTTTAATTAAATGTTTATAAATCGATTAATCGATTATCTTAAAAGACTAATTGATTATAATCGATTTGGATTTATTGACATAATCGATTTAATCAATTTTGCAGAATGGTCAATTATGCCCATTACTAGTATATATGTCGTTGTCTAGATAGAGTTGTAAAGCTTGTAAGTGAAGTGCTTATAATCAAATAGTTTTTTATTCCTGCATTAGATTGCACTAGAATTCTATTTCTCGCTTTCGACAAACGTAGTATATCTACCTCACTTTAAGTTCCAAAAGTGTACACTAGTTCAGCCATAAAAAACACACTTTAAAGACTTTAGACTAGCTTAATAACTTGTTCAACAATAAAATAGTAAATTCTGATTTTAAAAATCATAGAAATTTATAAATAAAAAAGCAATTGTAACAATAAATTATAGAATATATTATACTTCACTGTTATATAAATATCGTTGTTTATATAATAAAATTAACTTACATGATAAAGAACGAATATCAATTAACTACAATGTGAATTTAAAGTGAGACAATCTTGTGACAGATGTTAAAATTAATATGCTTTCGTTGAGCTTTTATTATTGAATAAATTGATAACATGAAGCTCTGCTAATATTTGACCGTGCATCTCACAATCTCTACGACAGTTCATTCTAAAATATAACCATTGTATTAATGACAAAGCTTAATTTGAATGTAAATCTAACTTTGTGATTGATTATAACCTGACACTTGAGTCGAAACGTATATTGTACTTTTTAACACTGGATCGGATAAAGGAGCCAAATTGAGTCTAACGCGTAACAATCTTTCTAGGTAGACAAATAAAAATTCAATTATTTTATATAATTGAAAATTTTTTTACTAAAATTAAGAAACATGAAAAATGATGAAAAGTCACAAAAGAATATTACGTGGAAGCAAAATTGAAAAAGTTATATTAGTTTGAATTTTGCGAGGAGCCAAATTGGCTCCTTCTTTCAGTCCTTTTAATGTTAAATCAATAAAACGATATTTATGCGAATGTTTATGTGAATATCTTCTGTATTGGTTTAATGTTGATATTTTTATTACACGTTACACGATTTATTTGTTCTGACACATTAATTCTCTCACTTGATCTTAAAAAAGTATGAGAATATTAATTTAAAGTTCACACACACGCGCACCATACATCCATTCCAATAGAAGCTGATTAATTAGAAAAAGATAATATACCTTGCTAACATACTCATAGGTTCTTTTTTGGTTAAAGTATTCCTAGTTGTGGTAAAATATTTTCCTCCAACATTCAGTGTAATCCATTCTGAATTCTTGCTTAGTTGATTATGGTTCAAAATTTTACTTGTATGTATAAAATTTTCCCCACTTGAAACATATAAAATATCATCATCTCTGCAAAGAAAAATTGAGAAATATTTTATTAATCCAAAAAATTTTATGTCTAAATATTATTATATCTAAACAAAATATGAAAATAAATAAGCTTTTTACCTAATAAGCTTAATATCATCAATTTCACCACCTTGCGAAGTAAAAATTCTTTTTGCAGTTATTTCAAATTTTGCGCTAGCTGCCTTTAATAATTCATCTAACGAGTGAGTCACTACCAACACCTACAATAAATATAATACCATATCATAATAAATTACTGAAATTAAATATTTCAATCAAATATATTACTTTGAAAAGAAATATAGATACAACTAAATAGATACAAAAAAATTATGTCAGTATAATTTAATACAATAAAAAATATTAAATGAAAGATTAAATGAAAAAACTTTTAGGGGCAATTATTTCTTTATTTAAGAAAGTACTTGAAACAAAACTGTTGCAAATAATTCTCAAATTTAATCAAGGCGAACGAATAAATCGAAGAATAAATGTGAAATCAGTCAATGCAAGCCAACAAGTTAGACGTGTAAATTCATATATTTAAATCTTGAAAAGGACGATCTTATAGATGTTTCAATCCATTCGATTAGATCTTCTTCAGTGATGACAAAATCGTTAGTATAATATAATAAAATGTAAGAGATAGAATATAATAAAATTGGAGTATCGTTAACATACATTCATAATGTGATTTTAATGTTGTCTATCGTATCTATAAGTTAGATTAGTTAAAAAAACTTATGTAATATTGTTAATGATGATCTGTTAAATAAAACATGTTAACAAGATGTTCTAAGAGTATGTGAGAAGCACAAAAACAATTATCGGTGATCATAGATAATGTAACGGGAATAAATAATAATAAGTAAATAGATACAAACATGTAAAAATTATATATGACAGGAAATAAAACACAGTTTGAATGTAGGACATAGAACAGGAAGACATAGAACTATTAGATTCATTATATGTCAAACTGTGAAAATGTCAAACTTTTTTAAATAGATCATATAATGAATCTAATAGTTCTATGTCTTCCTGTTCTATGTCCTACATTTACAAATCACGTTGATTTGTGAAAGTGACGTTAATTTATCTTTTTGAATTCTAATGAAAGAGTTAAGCTTGTTTAATCTCTCGTAAGCGAGTCAAATTGCTTTATTTGGCCTTGAAAAATTTTTTTAATTTTTCTGAGATAGATGGAATATAAGATATCGTGAAAAATATAGTTATTTATGTCTGTCTATTTTTTATTATTCGTGTGAGTTTCATTGTCATTTTGATCTCTAAATTTTGTGAGCAATTTTTTTTATATTAAAAATTCTCTAAATTTTTTGAACAATCTTTTTTGATGATATTAAAAATTAATTTTAAGGAGTATCTGTTGTTTAATAAAATGTTGATTATTCTATGGAAATTTTTTTCGTCAAAGCTAAGATGTGACAACATTAAAACTCTATCTGTTAATAATAGTATTTTTTGGCATAATGAGTGGCATTTTACATTCTATTACATTTCTTTTTAACATAATTTGTCTGCTTGTTAATAGTATAATATTATAATCAGGGAATGGAAGTAACTCATTACTTGTAACGAAATTAGAGTCACAATTTTTTTTTAATTTTACTGGTAATTGCGTTACTTTCTTTTGATAACTGTGACGATAGTTACATTTTTTTGATAATGGTAACGAATTTTATAGTTACTTTTATCATTACTTCGCACATGATTAGACACGGTTCGATTGAACGCAAGTTATTTATAGCGCTTGAGACTAGAAAGCCCCTAGATACCTATCCGCTGTGATTGTAGTCGATTTTAGAAAAGTTTAGTAACGAAAAAGTAACAAAAAATTACTTTTTCGAGTAATGATAACTGTAACGAGTTACTTTTAAAAATCGATAACAAGTAATGATAACTTGTTACTTTTTCTACTCGATAACTTGTTATTTTTAAAAAGTAACTTTCCATTCCCTGATTATACCTTATAACTTAATGATAAATAAATACTCTTGATTCATAATGCAGTTAGCAATGTACTGTTTTTTTTTACATCATTATTAATATTATTATATACATTAATATTATTATATATATAGAATGTTCACCATCCGTACAATTTCTCAGATACTTTCGACAGTTAAAAAAAAAGTTAAAAGGTCAATATCTGTTTTACATAGGCTACAACACGCGATAAAAAAATATAAAAAATTTGTTTTTATAAAAAATCAAGATTTTTCATAATCATCTTAAATTTTTTAAATAGCACCATACAATTTTTTCTATAATATTGTAGAGATCTTCAAGACAAATTTAAATTACTATTGAAATGTCATTTCGTTGTTGTTTTATTGATTTTATTAATACTTAATTTCACTTTTGTAACATTATTTGTAACGGCAGTATTTACAACATCTGACTAGAATACAGAAAACACGCACGCAAGCACGCACGTACATGTACTTAATAAATTTAATAAAAT